GCGCTACCACGCCCGGCTGATTTTTTGATTTATTGTAGAGATGAGGTCTTGCTGCCCAGGCAGGTCTCGAACCCGCAGGCTCAGGCAATCCACTCACCTCAGCCTCCCAAAGACATGGGATTACAGGCTGAACCACTAAGCCCGGCAGAAAACCTTTTTTTATTAACTTAATTTTACTAACTCACTGGGAAGAAAAAAAAAATCAAGCAAGACCCATACTAAAAGCAAATGTAATGTATAAACTGACTTTATTTTTTTTTACTTTTAAATTTTTTTTGAGTTGGAGTCTCACTCTGTCGCCCAGACTGGAGTGCAATGGCTGCTCCCAGCCACTGCAGCCTCGACCTACTGGGCTCCGGGTGATCTTTCCGCCTCAGCCTTCAAGTAGCTGGAACTACAGGTGTGCGCTACCACACCCAGCTAATTTTTGATTTATTGTAGAGATGAAGTCTTGCCAAGTTGCCCAGGCGGGTCTTGAACCTGCGGGCTCAGTAAATCCACTCACCTCAGCCTCCCAAGGCGCAGGATTACAGGCTGAGCCACCGAGCCCGGCTGACTTTATTTTTTAAACATAAAAAGTTTCAACTCATCTGCTTCTTAAATTAAGAAGAGTAAACCATAAACCTGTATTTGATGAATCCTGCCATCAAGAATTTTTATAGACCCACATTATAAGAAGTAGAGGACAAAGAGAGTGATGACAAGAGTCCCCAAGAGAGAGTAGGGGTGGGAATAGGGAAGAGCTATGAGAGTAGAGGCCATAGGAAGGACAACTTGTTCTGTCTCAATCCCAAGGAAGGCCTGCTCAAGAAAGGGCTCTACTCCAAGAGTTTGTCAAAACTTCCCTCTAGTTGGCCTCCCATTCCACTTCTAGTTGTCTGTATAAACTTTGACTGGTCTTCATGGGGGTGGGTGGTGACAGGAAAATGGGGGACCAAAGCCACATCTTAGAAAACCAGTCATGGGCAAAGGAAGCTAATGGCTCAGGGTTCGAGACTCCCACACCTGCATTTCCCAAGATCATACTCACCACTGACTTAGGCTGAAATGATCAAATACAGTGTTTCACTGTCCAAGAATTATACAATATATAAAGGTTGTAGGCTGGGCTTGGTGTCTCAGTCTGTAATCCCAGCACTTTGGGAGGTTGAGACAAGTGGATCGCCTGAGCCAGCGGGTTCAAGACCAGCTGGGGCAACTTGGTGAGACCTCGTCTCTACAATAAATAAAAAATTAGCTGGGTGTGGTAGCGCACGCCTGTAGTTCCAGTTACTTGGAAGGTTGAGGCGGAAGGATCACCGGAGCCCAGCAGGTCGATGCTGGGGTGGCTATGAGTACTCCAGCCTAGGTGATAGAGCGATACTTCAACTCAAAAAAAAAAAAAATAAAAAAAATAAAACCCCTTCAGGGATCCAATTGTAAAAATAACTACAAAATGAGTAGATGGACCTCATTCCTCATGTGCTTTCTGTTAAAGACAAATATGCTCTCCAAAATGAAGGAAGTTAGGAATTCTTGGGAAATGTGGTGTGTGACCATTTCCACCTCACTGGGAATTAAGTTCACTTCCTGCTCAATGTGTTGGGCAAGTTCTGTACTCACCCTTCCTCCCCACTATTCACCTTTTACTTCTACATACTCTGATGTGCTAAGCTGCCTGGCACAGCCCTTTCACCTGTTTTCCTATCATGACCTGAGACAGAAAATGTGAAATTTCTCTGGAATATTTCATGACTCATAACAAGTTCAAATCTTTTGTGTGGCCTGCAGGTCAGCCATGAAGTACTATACAGTGAACAGAAATGATTACATTAAGCTATAATATTAATAAGCAGACTGTCAAAAAGACATTATATTTTAAGGTGCCAAATTTATCAAGTGACCTAAAAAATACTGCTTAAACCATCAGAAACCGAGCCTAACAGAAAGAACATTTTATGTTTTGAAAACTAAAAAGAAAACTTTTGTGATATACATAAAATTAAATCTAACATAACTTTCTATATAACAACTATGCTAACTTTCCATCCCTCCTTCAAGTATTTCTTATGCAGTAATGCTTTCTTCAAATGGTATTTTACTAAGTGCAATGGATTTACAATCTTTTAATAAAGTTGTTGCCATGGCACATGGCCCTATTCTAAGTAGCATGTGTTACAATTCTAAGTCAACTCATTAAACATTTAATTAGAAATCTGGAAAAAAAGTTTGCCTCACCTGTGACATTAGGATCACGCCTTGTTCTCCACTGAGGGACAAATACAGTAATGTTTCTGTTGCCAAGTTTCCAAAAATACTCAACTGCAATTGCAATTCCACGACAAGAAAAGAACTTTTTCAGACCATGGCTATAAGAAAATACATGAAATTTATTTCAGTTTAAGACAAATTTAAAGCAGGTTTCACTATAAAAAGGCAAGATCTATATACAACAAAAAGAATAAAAACAAAATTTCTTTAATACTTTTACATTTTCTGGGCATTTATAGTTGTGTAGTGTAAAGCTAAGATAGAACCCACTGTAGGAGGTATAACTTTTAATAGTCTTATGATTATTTGTGCATTTTGTTTAGTTGATTTAATTAGGCATGTTGTGGTACAAGGAAGTGAACTTCATGCTAATGCTTGCTTACTGTATTTTTTTGAGTTGGAGTCTCACTCCATCGCTCAGGCTAGAGTACAGTGGCTTGCTCATGGCCACCCCAGCATTGACCTGTTGGGCTCTGGCGATCCTTCTACCTCAGCCTTCCAAGTAGCTGGAACTACAGGCGCACGCTATCACATCTGACTATTTTTGTTGTTGTTGGTTTATTATAGAGATGAGGTCTCGCCAAGTTGCCCGGGCTGGTCTCGAACCCGTGGGCTTAGGCAATCTACCCTCCTAGGCCTCTCAAAGTGCTGGGATTACAGGGTGAACCATGGAGCCTTGCCCTTTTTTTAAAAAAAAGAGTTCATTCTACTGGGGGGAAATAGCATTTTTAAGTCCTCTAAGTATTGTCCATGAATTTTATTAAGAATATCTGCTGCTGATGCAGAAACAGTTCAGTAGCTGTGATGATGCCTCTTCCCTGTGACATAGGAGAGGGATAAAGCTGTTACGTGATCATCAGCACTGCCATCTCCAAGGTTGCTGTTGTCTCATGCCCCAGGGGGGCTTCATTCCTTTATAAGGAAAGGCCACATCTACCTAGTTTACAGCTTACAGGAAAAAGTTGAGGGCAAGATTCAAATGAAACTAACTGGGAGCTTTGGAAGGCGATTTTGTGGAAGACAGCAGACAGCAAAGGAAAAAAGGTAAACAAGGAACAGCATAGAACATAGGCCAAGCACACTTTTTCTGTAAAGGGTCATACAGTCTCTGTCACACCACCTAACTCTGCCATTATAGATGAGGCAGCCAGACAACTGTAAATGAGTAAGTATGATGGCCATGCTCTATATTTATAAAAACAGGTGGAGGCCCTGATTTGGCCCATTGTTTCTAAATCTGGTATAAAGGGTTAAAAAGTGCACCCTCCCTCAAATCCATTAATACATTTCTTTTTTTTTTTTTTGAGTTGCCCAGGCTAAAATGCAGTGGCACACTCACAGCACCGCAACCTTGACCTGCTGGGCTCAGGCAATCCTTCTGCCTCAGCCTTTCATGTAGTTGGAACCACAAGTGTGCACCACCATGCCTGGGTAATTTTTTGATTTATTGTAGAGACGAAGTCTTGCCAAGTTGCCCAGGCTGGCTGGTCTTGAACACCTGAGCTCAGGCAATCCTCTCACCTCCACCTACCAAAGGACTTACAGGGATAAGCCACTGTGCCCACCCGTTAACACATTACTAAAGACAGAAAGAAAAAGTATTTAGATTTTAATCTCTAGCAGTAAACTGGAAGGGGGGGGTTAAAAAAAAGAATGTTTTTAAAAAGTTTAAAACTCTGCAGGTGGTAATCTGTGTATTCATTCCTCTATTCATGGGTATTAGAAAGAAAAAAGATCAAAAACTCAAACTTTGATGCTACAATGTACAGGATCAGCATAATTTATTTCCACTGCTTCAGTGATCATTTATATGCCAACGACATTCTACATCTTCAGTCCCGTCTTCACTCCATGTCTAGCAGCACACATCAAAACTGCTTTGTGGAAACTTATTTCACTTCGAAGTCCTGCCGTAGGGGGCACATGTGCCCCAAGGCAAACACCCAGGCTCTAATTCCAACCTACCCTGAAAACTCCAGTATGATTAACCTTCAAAGGCACTATTCTTCCACACAAGTCCTCTGCCTGGCTTCCAGGTCCCCAGCTCATCTGACTAGTCAGAAAGGATCTGGCCATGGGAAATGCTCATCAGGACGTATAAGCATACTCTTGGTTTTGGTCAGATGGTCTTGTCATCTCAACCCCCTCCCACCCTCAGTTGTTCCTTTTGTTGCTTTCTTTGTGTGCAGAGCTCTTGCATCTTTCCTTGCTCCTTCAAATGTCTTTGGGTCTGAAATTCAGGCCCTCTTCTTCTATAAAGCTATCTCTACACATAGGCCTTCTATCAGCCTCCTTCCTCTTCTCTGACTTTCTATCCTGTATGGTACACTTGAATCACAATTCCTGTTAGAGATGAAAAGGAGACACTGAGAGAAAGAGCAGCCTGCCTGTGTTGCAAAGCCAGAAGGTGGATGAGCTGGATCAGACTCAGCTTCCTCACTCCTGGTCAGTGCCCTTCCCACCTCAACTGTATCTATGTTCCTCAAGAGCAAGGCTGAGTTGGACTCTTCACACCATCTAAAATGGTGTGAAATTCAGAACAGCTACTCACAAATTCCTCTTTTTAAAGGCTAATGGCCATTTTCTTTTTCAATGAACCATAAGTAAGAGACTACAGAGGCTCTTACCCCAGAAAATATATGCAAGTGAACAAACACATTCTTAATGAATTAATTCAGAACTGTTTTGTTTATCTGAAAACACTCAAATATGGCAAGAGTATAGAAATATGACATTTGTAACTAGAAAAAAGACTGAGAGTGGTTTTTTAAAAAAGGAGGCCCTTTTCAACCTCTGAAAAATAATAAATCATTCCTCACTCTAATTGTTTAACAGCAAAGGACAGGCCTAGAGTTAATGTCAACCACAGCCCTAACATAAAAATCCACAATAGATCTGCCTACTGGTTCTTAGAAAAACCATATGTTTGGTCTTCAAAAGTGAGATAAATGCATTGAAAATCTGTAACGTGCCTCCTTGTTTATTCAATAGATACACATGTGTTTGTTACCTACTTTCTCTCTTTTCCTTAAATGCTTCTGTTGATGGCAACAGTAGAAACTGGATTGAGGTGGAATACCCAGTTCTTTTCCACTGGGCCACTTAATAAGGGCAGAAATGTAGAAAGATTAATTCTGCTATCCTGGACCCCTCATAAGCTTAGAAAAGAATAAATGGAGCTGCTAGAAACATCAGCTCTAAAGTAAGTTCCAAAGTATTATTCTGTGATATGATCCTATCATTTTTGATACTCTAAAAAAAATCTCCAGAACTGAACTAAAACAGTGGTTGAAAATTCTGGTAAAAAACATACAGATTTACCTGGGGGGAAACATACTACTCCCCCCAAAATCAAGTTGAGCCAAATTATTGTCCTCAAAATGATAAAGAAGGTCCACCAAAGGATACTTCCTACTTAAAGTCCTATACACCAGCGGTCCCCAACCTTTTTGGCATCAGGGACCAGTTTCATGGAAGACAATTTTTCCACGGACAGGGGTGGGGAGGATTGTGCAGTCAAACCTCACTGCTAATATTAATCTGCACTTGCAGCTACTCCGCAGCGCTAGCATCACCACCTCAGATCATCGGGCATTAGATTCTCATAAGAAGCAGGCAACCTAGATCCCTCGTATGCGTAGTTCACAATAGGGTTTGTGCTCCTATGAGACTATCATGTTGCTGCTGCTAAGACAGGAAACAGGGCTCAGGTGGTAATGCCAGCAATGGGGAGCAGCTGTAAATACAGATGAAGCCTTACTTGCTCACCCATCATTCACCTCCTGCTTTGTGGCCCGGTTCCTAACAAGTCAGAGGGGCACTGGGTCGGTGGCCCAGCAGGATGTTGCCATGTAAACCCAAACCAACAGTGTATTTTGATCTAGAGACAAAGTATATATATACACAAAGTATGTATATAATAACACTTCACTAATTATGGGCAGGTCAAAGCTCTGGGGCTTCCAGCTTCCAATGCAGAACAGCTGTCAGGCATGGGAGGTTAGGTGTACAGGCCTTCAAGAGAGATTTTATTATCACTATTATTATTTTAATTTTTGTAATAAATAAAGACAAGGTCTTACTATGTTGTCTATGCTGGTTTCAAACTCCTGGGCTCTCGCCTCAGTCTCCCAAAGTGCCAGGATTACAGGCATGATCCACCACCACACTGGCTTCAAGAGATTTTAAGCTCCTGTTTCCATAAAATTGGTTAAAAGTTATATCACCTGACTGTTTGCCATATTATAGCAGGCAGTCAACTAAAAGGCAGTGTTCAAAGCAGGAGGAGAGACAGGTGACACATAACTGATTAAAAACTCATGGCAGTCATAAAACAAGACCGAGCAGTGAGGGGAAATGGAAAGCCCTTTCTGAGTTACCCAGCTTCCAACTAATAAATACAGCCATGGAACCCCGACATGGAAATACTAGCTTGAAAAAGGGTTAAAAGATATTAAGTTAGTGAAGGGGCAAACTTTATCTACATGAAAAATTCTCACCCTAGATAAGTCAGGTGCTCTTATGCTGAAGTTTCAGGCTGACAGAACTGAAATGTTACTTGGCCACCACTGTGAAGTCTTGTCATGCACCGCAAACAATTTCCACTTACTCATCATTTGACTCATTGTGGTGACAAGGGGGAAAAAAACAAGTAATGATATACATAATTGGCAGCATTAAGAAGGGTATTTTGGAATTTTTCACAGGTGTGTGTGTGAACGAGCTCAGACATCATACTAGATAGGCAAATAAACAAAGGCTTTGCAAAAACACAGGGGAGGGTGGGCCTGAGCTGCTTTAGGGTGGGGTTCACACCAACAGACCTATTGCTTAACAACTCAAATTTCCTTTTAACTACTTCCCCAACTAGTTGGGTCAAATGAGTGAGCTTTACTCAGCAGTGCTTATGAGTTAAGTATCCAATGATGTCAAGGCCTAAAAATTCCAACCTCAACGTCTGTTGCAGGAGACAGGGTATATGTTAGCTCTGGGAAGAGACGTTATGAGCCCAAGTCTCCTATCTGTGTAACCCTGGACAAGACATTTAAGTCATTTCTTTTTTGAGTTGGAGTCTCACTCTGTCGTCCAGGCTGGAGTGCAATGGCATGGCTACCGCAGCCTCGACCTGTTGGGCTCAGGCGATCCTGGGTTCAGGCAACCCTTCTGCCTCAGCCTTCCAAGTAGCTGGAACTACAGGTACACACTACCATGCCTGACTAATTTTCTGACTTATTGCAGAGACGAGGTCTTACCAAGTTGCCCCGGCTGGTCTGGAACCCCTGAACTCAGGCAATCCTCTTGGTACAGCCTCCCAAAGTGCTGGAATTGTAGGCTTGAGTCACTGTGCCCAGCCTTAAACCATTTCATGTTATGTAAATTATAAAAAATGTTTGCCTTAGAATATTGGGTGTAAGCATTATGTTTTTAAAAATACAGTGCTTGACACATAACAGATATTTCAGGTTTTTTTTTTTTGAGTTGGAGTCTCACTCCGTCGCCCAGACTGGAGTGCAGTATCCGCTCCCAGCCACTGCAGCCTCGACCTGCTGGGCTCCAGTGATCCTTCCGCCTCAGCCTCCAAGTAGCTGGAACTACAGGCATGTGCTACCACACCCGGCTAATTTTTTGATTTATTGTGGAGATGAGGTCTCACCAAGTTGCCCAGGCAGATCTTGAATCCGTGGGCTCAGGCAATCCACTCACCTCAGCCTCCCAAGGCGTGGGATTACAGGCTGAGCCACTGAGCCCGGCTGATATTTCAGTTTTAAGAGTCTAAATATTTGTTGTATTAAATATATGACCTCAGTTAAAATTTAATCTGAATTGACTGTTGGACTAGCAACCATGAAGCTATAAGTGGGTAGTAAAAAGTGACTTAAAAAAATCCTAAGCTGGGCTTGGCAGCATATGTGTACAGTCCCATTAACTAGGGAGAGGCTGAGATGGAAGGATCACTTGACCCAGAAATCCAAGTTCAGCCAGGGCAATATAGTAAGACCCTATGTCTTAAGGAAAAAAGGAAAGAGAAAGACAAATACTAATTTATCTTTAATTTTTTTCTTTCACTCATTTATCAACAAATCTTTATTGAGTGCCTATATGTGCCAGGGACCTGGATGTTGGAGGTATTCAGTGAGTAGAAGAGATACAAATCAGTTACTTCATGGAATCTGGTTTAACCAAATTCACACTTAATATTGAAGCAAATGATTTATAATAAGTTTGACTTTTCTTCCAACTTAAAATTTTAATAACGTGAATTTCATACAACATAAAATAACCATTTTAAAGTGACCAGTTTGCAGAGCCGGGTGTGGTAGCTCATGCCTGTAACCCCAGCTCTTTGGGAGGTGGAGGCAAGAGGATTATCTGAATCCAGGGGTTCGACACCAGCCTGGGCAAGTTGGTCTCTACAATAAATAAAAAAATTAGCTGGGTGTGGTGGCACACACCTGTAGTTCCAGCTACTTAGAAGGCTGAGGTAAAAGAACCACCTGAGCCAAGCAGGTTAAGGCTGCAGTAGCCCTGATTATGCTACTGCACTCAAGCAGTTTCTCCTCTGGAATAAGCATTCATTTTAATAAGTGATATTTTCAGAACAATCTACATCAAATTAAAGTCTGTCTTCTTAGGGTAACACACTCTTTTGTAAAAGTGTTATTTTTACACTAAGACATTTGTGAATTCAAAGAAAATGCAAATCTTTGCAAGATAATCAGTTAAAAAAAATTAATGCCAAGTCAGCTTGCAGGTTTTCCCTTAGTGTAATAATCAGTGGTTTTCAAAAGAGATGGTACAGTACTCACGGATGTTAGAATATATGTGGGAGTGTTTTGGAGTATCACAATGGCTGGGGAGGAACACTATGGGCAAAGTGGGTGGAACTAGATTTGCAAAACATCCTGTCATGGATAGATAGCACCACTCTTAAGTTTCAACAGTGACCCCTCTAGTTACTATTACAAAAGGTCTTTTAAACTGGCATCATTGGCCATTTTTTTTTTAAACTTTGGTTTCACCATGTGGCTCTGTGAGCACTGGCCAGGTCACGTTTTCCTAGCTTTGGCCCCCTCCCCTACCTTGGGGAAGTGAATCTCTCCTTCTCTCTCTCTCATTTATTTTCTAAATAAACTATATTTGTCTAAGCCAAAAAAAGGCATTATTATCACTGCTCATTCTATGTTAATATGCATTTCTGTTAGCTGGGCGTGGTAGCGCGTGCCTGTAGTTTCAGCTACTTGGAAGGCTGAGGCGGAAGGAACGCCAGAGCCCAGCAGGTTGAGGTTGTGGTGGCCGGGAACGGTCACTGCACTCCAGTCAGGGCGACAGAGTGATTCTCCAACTCAAAAAAAAAAACAAACATTTATGATTCTTTGAAAATCAGAAAATCTTTCCACATACAGAAAAGTGAAAAAGATTAGTATTACTCACAATTGTGCCCTAAAGTTTATATCATCATTTGGTTCAAGAAACTAAAAATGAGGAACTTTTTTTTTTTTTTTTGAGTCAGTCTCACTCTGTTGCCCAGGCTGGAGTGTAGAGGCACATTTATGCCACTGCAGCCTCGACTTGCTAAGCTCAGGTGCCTTCCACCTCAGCCTTCCAAGTAGTGGAACTACAGGTGCACACCACCACGCCCAGCTAGTTTTTTAATTTATTGTACAGATGAAGTCTTGCCATGTTGCCCAGACTGATTTCAAATCCGCAGGCTCAGGCAATCTTTTTGTCTTGACCTCCCAAAGTGCTGGGATTACAGGAGTGAGCCATTGTGCCAAGAACTTGTATGATACTTGGATTTTGTATGGGTAACTGAAATTGTTTTACATTTTTTACCTAGATAATGCTATGTGGCTATGGGTCACTTGCTGGGTTTCCCTCCAATAGGGCTGCCAAAAAAACAAAGTGAAATGACAATGAACAGTATTACTGGGTAATGAAGATAAGCATATTGCATATATTTACTGCCTGTCTTCAAACTTTAACATCTGAAATGCTGGCATTTTCTTTTTTCTGTTAACAGCAAAACACAGCATCAACAATTCAGTCAAATAATAAAAAGCAAAAGAATCTTTATATTTAAAAAAAATACACACTAAAATATTTATGGATAAATGATACATCTGACCTTTCCTTCAAAATAATAGGGGTGTAAGGCAGTAGATGAGGGAACAGATGAAACAAGACTGGTTATGAGTTGACAGTTCTTGAAGTTGGGTGATGAGCCCGTGGGGATTCATTATATATGTTTCTTTGAAAATTCTTATGAAAAAATTCACAAATTAAAAAAATTACAAGTACATAGTAAATACATATTCCAAAAAGAAAGCTTATTTTTCAATCTCAATAGGTATTTCTAAAATCTCAGAGCATTAATCAATCTTTTAGAATTTCTAGGAAAGAGGTGACACAAACATTCAGCAATGCAGCAAAGCATTTTTAAGATTTGGCAACATCCCCCTTATTCCCTGTTCAAGTGTTCTGCTTCCTGAATTGTGGTTTCCATTAAAATGCCAGACCTTGAATATTTCTTCAAAATCAATGATATTAAGTTAAATTTGGCCTAATGCTGCCTCCATACATAGTGAACTGCAACCTCACTTAAGAGTATATTAGGGCTGGGCACGGTGGCTCAAGCCTGTAATCCCAGCACTTTGGGAGGCCAAGGTGAGAGGTTGCCTGGGCAACTTGGTAAGACTGCATCTCTACAATAAATCAAAAAATAAGCTGGGTGTGGTAGCACGTGCTTGTAGTTCTAGCCACTTGGAAGGCTGAGGTGGAAGGATTGCCTGAGCCCAGAAGGTCGAGGCTGCAGTGGCCATGAGAATGCCATGGGTAACAGAGTGAGACTCCAACTCAAAACAACAATCTAAAAGTACAGGCTTATAATAAATAGGTGAACCCCAACAAATCAAAGCAGGCAAATTGTGCCAAATGGTCAGATCGTGTCCATATTAAGCAAATATCTCACCACTCCATGCCCAACTATGGCAAGCACAGCTGTAACCAATCAAGCTATTTCTGCATGGCACTTCCTTTTCTTGTCTATAAATATTGCCTGGCCACTTTGCTGGGTGGAGCTCTCTGAACCTCTCCTTACTCAGGGTGCTGCCAGATTCATAAATCATTTTTTGTGCAACTCACCTCTGCTACATTTAATTTGACTCAAGTTTTCTTTTAACAATGGGGTGACTGGTTTTGAAAACTGAAAGCAAACCACCCAACAGTTGTTGAAATTACATGATAAAGATGTCCATAAAGACAGGACAAAAGGCAACAGATTGCTGCAACTGAAACTCAGACGGGTTAAATGACCTGCCTCAAATCAAACTGCTGGTTCATAGTGGAGTGGAGACTCTGACCCTCATACTCTTGTCAGCCACGATATTAAAATGTCCCTTAGAGAAGAAACCCAATTCCAGAATCCTAAGAGAAATTCCAAGACAAGCTAAATATAAATATTGGTTTTAATAAATATTACAAACTTTTAGTAAGAGCAGAGGCCCATGATGAAGCTCAAACTGACTAATTTCCTTAGAAAGAAAATTGCTATCACTCCATCAACAGAAGTGCATCACACCTATGAGTATTGCACCTCCTGGCAAGAGAGGCATAGTCCAACATAACAAGACAGAAAAATCTCTTTTTTGCCTTAAGTTCCATCCTCATATTCAGAATCTAATGGTACTCATAGTACTAAGAACCTACTGACTTGAAAAGCCTGTACATTACATATTACTTGGCAATGCAAAGTGAAAGATAAATTTTCTACCACCTCTTGCCCTTAGATGAAAGGGCAGTAAGTTCAGTGGGGGAAGCAAAGTTCATGGCTCTAAAAGATGGAATGACAAAACCTTTCCACCAGCTGGTTGTTTACTCAGGTAAACAACCCAGGTATAGCCCAGGTAAGACTATAGATCAACTAGACAGACACATAGGGTAGTTCCTAAACCATTCTGAGACAATGCTCAGGGCACTATTTAAAATTATAATTTACAGAGTGGACTTACGTAATTGCAACATTGCTCCCGTCTATAACAATGTGCTTCAAGTCTGTTCTCCCTGGTTCATTTTTTAATTCCAGCTTGTAAGGTACTTTCAGAGTATCTCGAAACCTTTGGACCCCTGTAACTGAGGAATCAATATGCTCAGAAGGTCCTCCCAGCCTTGCATCAGTAACTGAAGGTAACGCCATTGGTGGAGAAAGGGTTGAACAATTTGTCTTAGACTGAGGAGAGCTACAGCATTCTGAGCGTTTTTCACAGGCAGATTTCAGAGTATTTGGAAGTAAGTGTTCTGCTTGCTGTTGTAAACCATTTTCAGGAAAAACCAGAATTTGGGGCTGGTGACTTGAAGCTCCCCTTGAAACAAAATTGACTTCTTTGGGACTTGAAGGGGCAACAGAAGGCGAAAGACCATCAGTTTCAAGGTCTATGTTACAAATGTAGTTCTGGCTTAAGCCCCAGACTTCATGCTTCTGTTCTATTGGCACTGTTCTGAAAGTATTAATTTTGCAATTTGAGGTACATGGTTTAGCTTCTCCTTTGAATGGTAACTGAGAAAACTTTTCTACCATATTATGCTGTGTGTGAGTTTGTGTTTTCTTTGGAGGAGAATCTGTTGTAAGCTCATTTACGCTGCTACAAACATCTTTATTTTTGGTTTTGTTGGTCTCATACATAGTACCAGCTGAAAATTCTCTGTCTTCTTGGAACCTTTTATTTTCTTTTTCAATTTCCTCTAAGAGCAGTAATGGCTCAGTAGATGGCCCATATTCCCTAATGACTTTTTCAACAATTTCTTGGGAATAGCCCATGGTCTTAAAAAAATTTACAAGGATGTTGTATTCCATTTCCTCAGTAGTGTCTTTTATATCTGGACTTAAATTTTCAGAATCAGTAGAAGAGTCAGATAGGTCAACAACTACATTTCCAGCTGGTATCTTACCATCATGTAAAAGCTCCCCCTCTTGAACATTTTCCAAAGAAAACTGCTTCTTGGTATGCCTTTCTTCAGAATCAGAAGATCTTCGTTTGTGACAAACTCTCTCTTTGGAAAGTGCCTCTTCATCTGAGGTTAGACCATTTATTGGAACAAAAAGCACATCTGGTGAGCTAGAAAAGACTGTGTCCATTTGTTTTGTAAGCTCGGAAACAGGAGTCCCAGCTTTATTTCTTGCATCTTCCTGCAAAACAATTTCATCTCTGGAAATATTCAGCCCTGTGGCAGCACTCTGTATAAACTCTGTTTGTTGAGAATCTCTAGTTTCAACAATGTCATTATCTCCTATTTCAAACAGATTCTCCTCACCTTGTGTGAGTGTCAGAAGTTCTTTTTTCAAGGAAGTGGGCAAAATCAACAAATCCATTGTGTAATTGTCTGCACGGGCTTCAACAAATTGTTTAAATTCCCTTTTAACCTCTGATTCTTTCTGACTACTGGGTAGGTTCTCATTATTCTCAAAGAGCTTTACAAACTGTTGAATGTGACTCCTAGCCATGACCACAGCCTCAGCACTTCCTCTGATGCCAAGAAGGCCAATGTCCAGAATGCAGAGGTCAGCACAAGTATCCTGAATTAAGCTCTTCAGAAACAGGCTCTCTGCCCCAACAAAAATGCAGTGCATGGCCTTGGGGTAACATTCTCTTTCTTCTAGTTCAGGTTCACAGATCCCTTTAATATATTCCTGTAAAAAGAAAATAAACAATTAGATAAATTTACAAAAGCTCCTTATAGCACATACCAAGTTACAAATTTAATTACAAATGTTGCGCTGATTTTTATAAAAACCACAAGCATGCTGAAAATTTGGAAAAAAATACCTTGTTTTAAATAACATCAAAAATAGCAGATATAAATTGCTTAATCATCTTTAGAGGAATTAAAAACTTTTTATCTAAATCTAAAAGGCAGGTATGTGTAACATTTTAATTGTCTTGCCATGTGATTTTAGGAATTTGCCAAGCTAAAGGGTGATAAACTCAAGGCTAGAATTATTTATATCTATAAAGAACAAACATCTGGCCGGGCTCGGTGGCTCAGCCTGTAATCCCACATTTTGGGAGGCTGAGGCAAGTGGACTGCCTAAGCCCACAGGTTAGAGACCAGCCCGGGCAACTTGGCAAGACTTCATCTTTACAGTACATAAAAAATTAGCCGAGCATGGTAGTGTGCACTTGTAGTTCTGTCTTCTTGGAAGGCTGAGGCGGAAGGCTCGCCAGAGCCCAGCAGGTCAACACTGGGGTGGCCCTGAGCGTGCCACTGCATTCCAGCCTGGGAGATGGAGTGAGACTCTAACTCAGAAAACAACAAAAAAGAACGAACATCTTTGCTTGGTACCAGTCATTTATTACTTCCATAACATAATCAAGATATAAGATAAATCATTTACAAGAGAACAAACTTTGACTTGCTTTGTTACTATTACCCTTGGTTTCCAGATATAACAAGAACCTTTGGTTTTTAGATGTCTTAAAGGGATTTAGAAATAAATGCCGCTAAAGTGTTAATTTAATTAAAAATTTTTTCTATCTGGTTGGAACAATACAAATTTGTAAACTAAATGCGGACCTAACAGAACCAGAGAAAGCTGGACAGCACTACCGTTCTTAGACACCATTACTGAAGGAGGTCTAAGGATGGTGAGAAAGGGAATTTGGCTCATCAGCAATCAGGCTGCTACTGGAGGCAGAAGTGGGAAGCAAGTGGCACGCACTGAACAGACTTGTTAATAACTTTGGCTCTGGTTATCTGTGTCTTGGTCTCAAATTCCAGCCATATGACTTGTGCTACCTTGCTCAAGTTATTTAACCCCTCCGAGCCCAGTTTCTTCAATTGTAAAAGAGAGAAAAGCATAGTGTAATTGCAGAGATTTTGAAAGAATTCTGAGATAACGAATTTCAAAGTCCTGACAGTGCCTTGCACATAGTAAGTGCTTGTTAAATAACAACAACACTGTTACTTGAAATTATCGGTGAAAGCTTTCTGTACAGATACTTGTAAGAAATTAGCATAGTGCAGTAGCTCACATCTGTAATTATAGCATTTTGGGAGATCAAGGCAGGAAGATCACTTGAAGCCAGGAGTTGGAGAACCAGCCTGGGCAATACAGTGAGACCCCATCACTTTAAAAAAAAAAAAAAAGAGGAAAGAAATGACCCTAGAGATACCTCATCTATACTTTAAACTAAAATTAGAATGTCGTTACCAAAAACAGTGCTGTTTAAAAGTTAAACTTGTGCAGCACCAGTCCAAAAGAGGCTTTGTAAGCTTGTATCTACTATACACTTGCCATGTTGATGGGCACACATCTTCAGTTAGAATTTATATTCAAACGTGTGTACATATTCCATCTGTATCTATAATTTAGAACTACAACATCCCTGTAAATAGACGGAACACCAGATACATGAAGAAAATGTCAGAGGAAAAAGCATGACCTAAGCACTATGATGTTCAGCCAGGATTTCTTTGCTATCTTATGTCCTTCTGAACACACCTCGGAGTGTTTGTGTTCTTGGTGGTGAAGCATGGAGGTGCTGGACAGAGGAACTTAGTCTTATTAATAGGGAAGTCTACTAGTTTTGCTAATATGGTAGTTAAACACAGAGTACATAAGCTCATCATCCCTTCTTCCTGAATTTACAGCAGTGTTAAATACTTGTGTCCACATACCTGAAGACCTCCAAAAGGGCAACATTTAGCTATTACTTATTTGAAATAATGCTGCTTTTAGGTTATGGATTTAAGGGTTAACAAAAAAAAATTACTTTGAAATAATTATAGGTTCAAGAGAGGCTCCAAAGGTAAGGCATAAAGATCCTGTGCACTCTTCATTCAGTTCCCCCTAATCATTACACTTTAAGCAATTATAGTACACTATCCAAGTCAGGACATTACATTGATACAATAGCTAGTGATGTTGAACATCTTTCCATGTACTATTTATCATCTACACATCCTCTTTGGTGAAATGTCTTATTCCTTTTGTCCATTTTCTTTCTTTTAAAAATTTTACTTCTTAAATCAACAAAGGATAATTGTACATATTTATGGGGGTACATAGTGATGTTTCAATAAATATAACGTACAGTAATCAGATCAAGGTAATTATCACACCCATCATCTCATTTACCATTGTGTTGAGAACATTCAATGTCCTCCTACTTAACTTTTTGAAATTATGCACTACTGTTAACTATAGCCACCCTACATGCTTAAAGAACACTAGAAGTAATTCCTACTATCTAGCTGTAATTTTGTGGCCTTTCACAAATCTCTCCATATCCCTTTTGTCTGTTTTGTCCATTTACTAGTTGGATTTTTTTTATTGCTGGGTTTTGACGGTTCTTTATATATTCTACATGAGTCTTTCTACATGGTTTAGATATTTTCCCCTAGTTTATAGCTTGTGTTCCCGTCGTCTTAACAGGTACTTTGTGAGAGTAAAAGTTTTTAATTTTAAGGAAGTTCAACTTATCGCTATTTTTTCCACCAAGCCCTGGGTTCCAAAGATTTCTCATATGTTATCTTCTAAGTTTAACATTTGAATCTATGACCCATTTTAAGTAGATTTTTATATAAGGTGTGAGGTTAAGGTTGAGGTTCACATTTTTGCTTACATATATCAAACTGTTCTGGCATCATTTCTTAAAAAGACTTCCCTTTGAACCACTGAATTGCAGCTTTGTCAAAAGTCAGTTGGCCCCAAACATCTGCATGTGGGACTACTTCTGAGCTCCCAATTGTGTTTCAATCTATGTATCTACCCCTTCACCAATACCATATTTTGGTTACTATAACTGCATGATGTCTTGAAATTGGGCAGTGAATGATGGTTCTCCTTTTTTATTTTAAAAACTGTTTTAGTCCAGTCTGGGCAATGGAGTTAGACTCCAACTCAAAAAAAACAAAAAACCCAAAAACTGCTTAGTTTTCTAGTTCCTGTATTTTCCCACAAATTTTAGGATCTTGTCTATGTCTATAAAATATCTTGCTATAATTTTGTCAGCAATTGACATCAATGTGTCAGGAATTGACATATGCTGCACCTTCTGATCCATAAACCTGGTATGTCTCTGCATTTATTTAGATCTCTGCTTTTTTCCACCAGCATTTTTAGTTTTGGGTATTCAAGACCAGTACCTGTTTTGCTAGATTTTTACACTTAAGAATTTCATTTTTCAGAGTGACTGTAAATAGTACTATATTTAAAATTTTGTGTCTGTTAGTATAGAAAACCACAACTGGTTTTTGTTATGTTGAACATGTTATCCTACAATCTTCCTGAATACTTATTCCTAATCAAGGGTGTGTGTGTGTGTGTGTGTGTGTGTGTGTGTGTAGATTCTTGGGGAATTTCTATGCAGACAACTATATCAACTAAACTATTTTTTCTTTTCTGATTTATATCTTTTTTATTTTCCCATCATACTGCAGTGGTGAGAAGTGACACGCTTGCCTTGTTCACAAGCTAAAAAAAGAAAAGCATTATTAAGAGCAGTGGTAAAGGCTGTTATGCTTACCTTATTCATAGTTTAAAGGGAGAAGAGTTTGGTCTTTCACCACTAAGATGCTAGATGTAGGTATTTTAGAGATGTTCTTTATCATGTTGAAAAAGATATCTAGTTTTCTACAACCATGGACAGGAATGGGTGTTGCAGTTTGTGAAATACCTTACTGCATCAAATGATATAATCTGATTTTTCTTCTTCAGCCTGTCAATATGGTGAGTTACATTGATTTTTGGATACTGAACCAGCTTTGCAACCCTGAAATAATCTTTATTTGGTCATGGTGTATACTGCTAAATCTATTTGCAAATATCTTATTAAGAATTTGTCTTTTGGCGGGCTCGGTGGCTCAGCCTGTAATTCCAGTGCTTTGGGAGACCGAGGTGAGTGGATTGCCTGAGCCTGCAGGTTCGAGACCTGCCCAAGCAACTTGGCGAGACCTCATCTCTACAATAAATCAAAAATTAGCCAGGCATGGTAGCACGCGCCTATAGTTCCAGCTACTTGGAAGGCTGAGGCGGAAGGATCACTGGAGTCCAGCAGGTCGAGGCTGTGGTGGCCAGGAGCATGCCACTGCAGTCCAGTCTGGGCGATGGAGTGAAACTCCAACTCAAAAAAAAAAAAAAAAAAAGAATCTCTTTTGCATCTACATTCACAAAGGACTTTGGTCCCTAGTTTTCCTTTTGGTACTGGGTTTGTCTGGGTTTAACATCAGGATAATATTGGCTATACAAGTTAGGAAGTGTTCTGCCCTCTTGCATTCCCTGAAAAAGGTCGTGTAGAATTGATGTTAATTCATTTTAAAATTTGTCGAATTCTCCAGTGTAATAATCTGAGTCTGGAGATTTCTTTTATGGGAGTTTAAAAATTAATTCATATTATATATGTGTTATAGATTTAATAATTATTAAATATAAAAGTGAATTATTAGAAGATATATATTTAAATTGATTAAATATGCCCCCAATGGTTGATGTATATGTGGATGAATATTTCTTATTGCTATAGTAAGAAAGGGTTCTGCAACAATTCTATCACTGGTTGCTTTTTAATGTTATCAGCTCTATTGAGTACAATGTACACTATTTGGGTGATGGTTACACTAAAAGACCACACTTCACCACTAAGCAATATATCAATGTCACAAAAATGCACCTGTACTCCCTAAGTCTAT